CCGGTGCCACCGTTGCGCCAGCGTTGACACCTGCTCCGGCTCCGACTGTGCGCCGGGCACCGGTCACAAGAACCCTCACCACCAGCGCTGACGCCGGTCGAGGGTCCTGTGTTGGTGCCGCTAAAGGGGTTGAAGGTACACCTGCTGCGCGTGGCATCCTCGCAGCGCTGGAAAGGTCCACAACGAATGTTGCCGCAGAGAATGCCGGTGCCGAGGGTAACGCCCGTCTCGCCTGGGAGGCCGCAGACTTTGCCGCCAAAGTTGAATGGACCGAGGTTGATGCAGATCTGGACGCCCGGGCAGACCTTGTCGCCACACTGAGTGTTCTGCGCGGGTGTTGTCGTGCCAGCATCGCCAGCGAGACCGCACGAGCTGGTGGCGGCATTCAGACATGTTTGACCGGTGGGGCAGGTAGCACTGCCGCACTTGGTTCCTGAAGGGGTCTCGCCGCCGCCGCCGCCGGTTGGCGGTGTAGTTGTTCCACCATTGCCGCCCGTGTTGCCGCCGATAGTAGGCCGGTTGAAACAGATAAAGGAGCCGGGAAGAGCGACTGACTCAATGCAGATCTCGGCTGACGAGCATGCGCGACCCGTGTTGCCGCAGTTGGTGCCCGCGTTACCACCCTGGGACCCGGGAGCGAGGGCTACACAAACAAAAGCGTTGCCGATGGGGCTCTGGATGCAGATCTGGGCGTTCGTGCAACGACCGCTTCCGCAGGTTTCGCCGGTGACGGGCGGAGTGACGCCGGCCACACAGGTGCCGCCTTCAGAGCACTGCAGGGGGCTCAAGCAGGGTCGGGTCGTGCTGCAGGGGTCGTTGAGGTTGCCGGGCGTCTCGGCCGGTGTCTCGCACGTCTTTCCACTGCCGCAGACGAGGGGCGCGCGGCACAGACGGGTCTCGCTACAGGTTTCGCCGGGACCGCCCGGCGTGTTGACGACAGGCGCCTCGCAGACGTTGCTATTGCAGAGAAGCGGGCTCAGGCAGGGCGCCGTAGCGCTGCAAGACTCACCGACAGCACCTGGGGTCACTGTCGGCGTCTCGCACGTGCTGGACTCACCACAGACGAGAGGAGCCAAGCAAGGTTTCTGTGCGCTGCAGGCAGCGCCAGCGCCTCCGGGAACGTCGGTGGGAGCGTCCTCGCAGACGTTGGACGAGCCGCAGACGAGAGGCGAAGCGCAAAGCTGGCTGGGACCGCAGGGTTGACCACTGCCAGCCGGGGGAGGCGTGGCACAGATGTCCCCCTCGCCGCAGACAAGGGGCGCGGCACAGGGTTGAAGGGTGCCGCAGGTGGCGCCGAGATCACCAGGAGGCGGGGCTGCGCAGACGTTGCCAGTGCCGCAGACGAGAGGGGTCTCGCAAGGCTGGTTGTCGCCGCAGGTGGCGCCGAGCTTGCCAGGGACGACGGGAGGCAGGGCACATTTGCTGTCGGTGCAGACGAGGCCAGTCGCGCAGTCGCTGACAACAGTGCATGTGTCGCCGACAGCTCCAGGCACATTGGCAGCCGGGGCAGTCGTGCACTTGTTCTCGCTACCACAGATGAGGGGCGAGATACAGGGCTTGTCGGTGCTGCACTCGTCGTTCAGACCACCCTGTCCCTGTCCGCCAGTGGCGGGGATGCAGACTTCGCCCTCACAGAGGAAGGGGCTCAGACAGGGAAGTGTGAGGCTGCAAGCTTCTCCGACGTTGCCGCCGGCGGGAGGAGTAATCGTTGCATCAACACAGACCAGGCCCTCGCTGCAGAACAGAGGACTCTCGCACGGCTGCAGAGGACCACAAACGTCTCCAGCGCCACCAGGGGTTTGCGGCGAGGGCAAGGCGCACTTGTCATCGGTGCCGCAGATGAGTGTTGACAGACAGGGCAAGGTCGAGCTGCAGGCGTCGCCGACGTCACCGGGCGCGGGTGTGACAATGACCGGGTCCGTCTCTGGCACGGCGCAGATGTCGCCGGTGCCACAGATGAGCCCTGTCACACAAGGCAGGGTAGCGCTGCAGGGCGCTCCGAGAGGGCCAGGTTCAGGTGGGTTGGGAATAGTCGTGATGGGGCCGCAAGTGTTGTCAGAGCCGCAGGTGAGGCCAGGGACACAGGGCTTTGTCTCGCTGCAAGCTTCCCCAGAGGCGCCGAGCTCAACGCCTGGCGTGGCGCAGACATTGGCGGCACCGCAGACAAGAGCTGGGATGCAGGGAAGGGTAGCGCTGCAATCATCGCCAAGCTGTCCAAGATCAGGAACATTCGGTGTTGTCGTTGTCGGGGCCGTGCAACGACCGTTCTCGCCACAGGTCAAGGGAGAACGGCAAATAAGCGTTCCATCGCATGTTTCGTCAAGGTTACGCAGGTTGGTGCAAGTGCCCGACTCACAGGCCAGGGGCAGCGAGCAGACATTGGTAGCATCACAGCTCTCGCCGAGGTTGCGACCACCAGGAGTAGGGACAACGCAGATGTCGTTGGTGCACTGGAGAGGTGTTGCGCAGGGCGTCTGGTCGTTGCAAGCAGCGCCAGCGCCAGCACCGCCAGTGTCACCACCACCTCCACCACCGGGAGTTGTGACAGCGGGAAGACAGACGCCAGACTGGCAAGTGAGGGGCGAGCGGCAGGGGGTGTCGTCGTTGCACTGCCCATTCTCGGCGGCGGGCAGCAGACATGTGCCGGCAGGGCCGCACACAAGGGGAAGAAGACAAGGAGATTCGCTGCTGCACTGGCTTCCGGGGCCGCCCGTCTCACCACCGTTGTTGCCACCGTTGTTTCCGCCATTGCTGTTGGGGTCGATGCATATGTTGAAAAGGCACTCGAAAGCAGAGAAGCAGATGGCGCCCTCGCCACAGGTGCCGCCGAGTCCGATACCACCACCTCCACCAGTGGATGTCGGAGGGAGACAGACGTTGGACTGGCAGGTCAGGGGCGTACGGCACGGCTTATCGGCATCGCAAGCGCCGTCCTGATCCACCGGAGAGATGCAAGTACCGGCAGGGCCGCAGATGAGCGGCAGGGCACATGGCGAGGTGAGGCTGCAGGTGTCGCCAGCATTGCCGCCCGCGGCGGGAGGGAGAGAGTCGACTGCGCAGACACCGGAAAGACAGACGAGTGGCGAACGGCAGGGTGCCTGGTCGCTGCAAACGCCGTCGAGATCAACCGGAGAGATACAAGTGTTGGCGGGACCACAGATCAGGGGAAGGTTGCAGACGTTCGCAGCGGACCTGCGGAGAATGTCAACGACGGTGGAACAGCTATCGCCAACATCACCACCACCTGGTCCTTCCACAATGACACAGACGCCGGCACGGCAATCGAGAGGTGCTTGACAGTCACCAACTGCAGCGCAGAGGTCACCCGGACCGCCGGAGCCGCCATTGTTACCGCCTCCGTTGTTCGGACCAGGGTCGACAGCACACACGCCAGACGCGCAGACCAGAGGTGTGCGGCATGGAGCATCGCTTGAACAGGTAGCATCCAGCTCTCCGGGGAGGATACACACAGAGTTCGGGCCACAAACGAGCGGCACGTTGCAAGGGTTCTCGGTGCTGCAGGCATCACCTGAGTTGCCGCCGGCTCCGGGCCCGGCGCCAGGAATGACGCAAACACCGCCAGAACACTCGTTGGGCGCTTGACAGGGCTGCTCGGTGCTGCAGACATCGCCTGGTAGACCTCCAGCGGGTGTTTCGGCGACAGCACAGGCACCATTCTGGCACGTAAGAGGGGGGCCGGCAGGGCGCCTCGTCGAGCAAGTATCCGCCAGACCTCCGGGAAGAACGCAGACGTTGGACGGGACCGCAGAGCAGAGGAACGTTGCAAGGCGTCTCAGGTCCGCAGCTGTCACCGCTGTTGCCGCCGCCTCTCGGGGCCCGCGGGCGCGACACAGATGTTGGCATCGCACTCGTTGGGTGCCAGGCAGGGCTTCTCAGTGCTGCATTCGTCGCCGGGAAGGCCACCAGTGTTACCGCCACCGCCGCCGCCGGGCAGCTCGTTGCCGAGATCGGGAACGGTGCAAGTACCGGCTTGGCAGAGCAGAGGCGTCCGGCAAGGGGTGTTTTCGTTGCACTGGTCGCCAGCGCCGCCGAGGTTGGTGCAAGTACCAGCCTCGCAACTCAGAGGCACGCGGCAAAGACTCGTAGCCGAACAGCTGTCGCCAGCATCTCCGAGGTCGGGAGCACCGGGAAGAACGCAAACCTCGTTGCGGCATTCAAGAGGCGAGGCGCAGACAGTTGTCTCGCTACACTGGTCACCAGCGCCAGCACCGCCGCCACCTCCGCCGCCGCCGGGGGGGAGCTCGTTACCGAGATCCGGGGCGGTACAAGTACCGGACTGGCATAGAA